AGCAGGGCACTCAGCCAATCCCACCAATTAAGATCACAGACAAGATCACAAAGCCATTGCCTGGCTTGCTTTATTGCTACGCGGCCATTACACCAAACAACAATAATTGGGCTACTGTTCATTATCATGTCTAATATGTTGGTATCACAACCCTCGAAGACGTACTGGAGTGTAATTAGAGGTGCAAGACTTAAGTAGAATTAGCTCTCTAAGTATTGTCATAAGGGCGCGACACACGACACAATGTGGTTGCATCTAAATATTATTTTAATTACTTACAGAACTGATAAATGCTGTTGTTTATCCGGTAAAACAACAGAAATCTGTGCAAAAAAAAAAAAAAAAATGCCCAACGCAACATCCCATCTTATTTAATCTTCAAATTGCCTGTTTAATCTGACTAATAGTGCAGAAGGAAGCCACAAATCGTTACACTTCAGGAGCTTGGAAATTAAAGTAGGGCATTTCCCTTTCTTAATAATTACTTAAATGATTATTTTCAAAATGCATTACTCATTTTCCATCAATTGACGTATTGATGCATTGACTACATGTTTTAAAGCTTCACCAGCGGCACTGATTTACCACCGTACTTCATGTTTTAGTCAGTTGGCCAAAAAGATCAGCTCCAATTCCCCCAACTAGGAAGTTGGAAGGCATCAATCCATTTTCTTTTACTTTCCCACAACTGATGCCAATATTGGCTGATCCCTGATTCGACATACATACTTTTTTTTTTCTTCTACTTAAAATCTGGACTGAGTGGAACCCAATGTAATCAGATTTTGTTAGCGGAAACGTTAAATTTTTAAAAAGATCACTGCCAAAAAAATGCTTTGAATGTAGATCATCACATCTGGCCGGTACCTGATCCACTTATCTGGGTCAGTATGCCGACGCAGCTGAGTTTACATCGAAAAAGTGAAATCACAGACCTCCTTTTGGCTCTGTTTGTGTCCTCAGCTGCAAAGCATAACACTGGAAACATGCTTGTGGTTATAAATATTTAAGTTCCACCTCATTCCAGCATGTGACAGCTTGTAAGAGTAACTTGTGTCCCTATGAGTAGGCTGCTGTGTTCTCACTACCACCCTGGGTCCTATTCACCAGAGCTGTGGCCTCCATGTCTACACGGAGGAAGAAGGGTGCTTCCCCGGGCTGGTTGCTGGTTGCGAAAACCTCTGGTCCATCTGTCGGGCCTGCCTGGCCGGCTGTCCCCCCGTCACAGCAGCAGGGATTAGCCGGGCTTAAGCCAAGAAACCAGCCGCCTGCCCTCCAGCCTGTCAGAGAAGACACGAGGAAGCCCCTGTTCCCGACTAAGCCTGTGCCATCCCTCTCCCAGCAGAGGTCCTCCGCCATGTAACCTACTGTATCCAGCTCCCCCTGACCTACATTAATAGAGAACATTAATAAAGAGGTAATGAAGGGATGGGATGTGAAAGGCAGAAGAAAGAGGACACCATTTTGATTGCTGCTGTGCTGGTCAGGGATGTTCATTCAGCTCAGTTAACTGAAGCATTGGGAGCTTCTATGAAAGAGGGTAAGTGCAGCGCCTTGGGGGATGCAGGCTATTAGTTCTCAATGGGATGTGAGGCGGGAGGCAGCAGGGGAGGAGGCGGAGGCAGCAGCTCGTCCATGAATACCCTCAATGCTGCTCTCCCGCTTCCTGCATTCACTTCCCCAACAAAGAGCCACAATGGTGTCCTTTGCTGTCTTGGCTGGCTGAGGCGGCTCCTGGCGATGCTCAGAGCCATGTGGGGGGTAGAGAGGACGGTGTGTGTGTGTGTGTGTGTGTGAGGGGTTAGTTGGGAGCTGGCTTTAACACCACACAGCCAGTCTGCACGTGCCCAGCCCGCGGCCTGCCAGTGGCCACACAAAAGGGATGATGTCATGCTTAGCCAATAACAAAAGAGTCTGGGTCCGTCAGGCCCTCCTCTCTCACCCGGCTAGTTCCAGCTTTATCCAGCCTAGCATTAATCGCAAGCCTTATCCTCTTTACTGGGGGTGGGGAATGGATAATAACAAACCAGCCGTGGGGCAACGCAAGACCGGGAGAGGGAAATTGAATAAACGATGAAGGTTGGTGGTGGGAAGCTTCAGGCTATGGTTGCGGGAGACAGACAGACGGACGGACGGACGGAGCTGTCATGAGACTGAAAGTGAGAGAAATCAGGAGGAAGCATGACTCTGTGGGGTGCCACAGCATGAGATCTGCCAAGCACAGGGCCCCACACAGAGATGAACCCAACAGACCCGGCGTAGAAACACACTCAAGCTTGCTGCACTCGCTGAAGTAATAGAACTCCGGCTGGATCCAAAACCTATCAAACTTCACTGCCCTCCAGCTGCAGCTTTTTCAACTCCTTCAGCTTGTCTTGTTATTTGCTCTTTGTTGTCGTCTTTCTGTCTAAATCTGCAGTCTGTGAGAGTGGGTCATGCATCATCACGGCCCAAAAATAACAGTATTATCTGAGCAGAACTGGATCTTTTGGTGGGGGATGAGTCTGACACTCTGAGATGCACAATCTTTGCGTGTGGCTCAGGCCACAGGCAAACTCCGACTCAAGCTGGATGAATGCTCCAATATAAGAGGTGTTACACAAGAACTTTGCTCGGTTAATAATGGTAAAATTTGGGTGAGAAGAAAGGCATGTGGGTTTGTCTGCCTAAAGCCGTTGCTACGAAGAATAATACAACAGAGTCAAGTTTGAAACAGCAGGCACAGAGACTCTCAGCCAGTCCGCCAGATGCTTTTGGTTTTTACTCGATAAAGCAACAATAGTCCATAATTCTTCATTTCACCATGTGGAAAGTGTCGTCTGCAAGTTTAATGTAACAGGAGCTGCAAAGCAACACAGTAATCCACAGCAACACTGTGTAATTATTTGCCATTTGGTGGGCAGGGCGTGTTTTTAGTGATTACGGTTGACTAGTCAGTTACCAGTTTTGTCGGCTCCAGGACGGATACAGTATCTACAGGGCATAAAATGTGAGCGGCTCCTAAATCACTCTCATAAATAGGCTGCACAGAAGGAGATGGGTCCGACACTCTGACCTGCTCCTGGCACCCAGGAAGTAAAACAAAAACAAAAATAGCATTTTATGCTACTGCCATTTTGTGTCACACCTAAGACAAAAATTTAAATCACCTGTCAAGTGTCATCGGCTGCTGTGAATCATCGTTTTATTCTCCTGGGTGTAACGTGGTTAAGAGGAGCTAAAAATAGCATTCAGAGCCAAGAAGAGGAGCGACATCTGTCATGTCCTCCGCAGCTGTGTTGTTGTCTTTATTCAGTCACTTCAAACTGCTGGGTGATGTATGCACACACAAACTACATGAGGGCACAAAACACATACCACACATGAAACACACTAACTTCTCCCCCTCCCCTGCCCGCTTAGGTTTCCCCTCTCAGAGTTCCTTCAGTTTCACACAGGGACTAAAAATACAGGAGTCAGCATGCCACGGGTGGACAGGCCATGGAAAAAAGGCTGTCATATTCGGAGGAGAAGTCATGGAAAACGGGAGGATCCGATTTCAGGGCCACTGATAAGCAACAAACCTACAGTACGCCTGCATGCCCGCCAAATATAGCACCCACTGATGTGGTGCAGGCCTGGGCTGGTGCAGGGGAGGCCGATCCGGAACCTCAGCGGTCCATGGGTCAGGCTGTCGGTGATAATCAGAAAAACCTACAGAGCTGGTTCGGTATCTCGCTCAAGGACACTTTAACGGAGTGACGGCTTGCTGCCATGGGAACTTGAATCTGAGAGCTCTGGTTCAAGGAAAGCTGCAGCGCCTACTGTTTATTACATGCATGCTACACGTAGCGCTGCTGCGTCACTACAGCAAAGAATCCTCTCTACATACAACCAGCAGACCCAAAGCAACAGAAACACATCTCCTGTGGGTCTATTTCAATCTAAACTATCATTTTTATTAACAATATGTATTGTGGGCTGCAAAGTGGCTCGGTGGTTTGCGTCCCGGTGAGGACACCCAGGATCTTTCTGCGTGGAGTCTCCATGTTCTCCCCATGCAGCATGGGTTCTCTCCGGGTTCTCCGGCTTCCTCCCACAGTCCAGAAACATGCTGAGGTTAATTGGTGATTCTAAATTGCCCGTAGGTGCAAATGTGAGTGTGCTTGGTTGTCTGTCTCCAAGTGTTAGAGACAGCCCCCCGCGACCCTAGTGAGGATTAAGTGGTGTATAGATAATGGATATATATTGTCACAGCAACCCCTGACTGCATTCATGATTTGCATGCCCACACTGACTCTGCTTCTTCAGTAGAAACAAGCAAAGTGATGCTGACTCGTCCCAGCCCGTGAGTGCACCATTTTATTTCTCAAAAACAATTTCAAAACTCATTACTGACTTGTATTTTCTATCAAACTGAAATCTTGTAAATCTCAAATGTGTACTTGGCACAAAGGTATTTTTAAAAGTTAAATATTTAGCTTTTTTTTTACTTATGTTTGTTTGTGGAGGAGGGAATTTACGAGGCACACAGAGTACCGCATTAAATGAAAAGGCTTGCCTTCAGTCACGAAATCCTTGACTGCTGAGCTACTAGCAGCCTTTTGGGAAATACACAAAATCGCATTCTGATGGAGAGTTAAATGAGAATATCAATAACACTCTGCACAGCAAATTTATGTTTACCAGCAGCCAGTTAAAACAGTTTAACATAGTGACTGGAAACAAGGAAAGCAGCTGGTCTGGCCCTTCCCAAAGGTAAAAAAAAAAAAAAATCCACCGACCAGCACATCTACTTTACATGTTACATCTCATTTGCTTGTGAGAGGTGACAAAAATACAACTCGCCATTACACAGGGGTTATCTCCCAGATTATTAAACTGGTAGCAACTAAGTGTCTTGCCCTTATCAGCAAGGTGGAAGCTTGTCACACAGACAGCCTGGTACTTAGAGGAAAGGCTCTCTAATCACATCCAAAAAGCATCAACTGTCAGGTAGCTTTACCTGAGCTTTAACTCACCTTCACCTTGCCGTTGGGTTGCAGCAGCTCGGTGACGGACACCTTGTCCTGCTGCAGCCGCCTCTTCACCAGCTTCGAGCAGCAAACGTTGACCGCGCCCTGCACGTGTGACGCGTTGTACTCGGAGAACGTCCTGCTGTCGATCACCAGCAGGCGGCCGGTCCCTCTCTGGATGAGGCTCGCCAGGCGCTTAATGTCCATGGCGCTGCGTTTGTTGGGCCCTTTCTCCCCTGCCATGATGTAGGAAGGGTTGACCCTGGGCCGCAGACGAGGGGGGCGAGTAAGGGATGGGGTACGAAGGAAGAGGGGTAGATGAGAGAGAGGGAAAAGGTGGAGGAAGAGACGGGGAGGTGGAGGAGAAGAGGTCAGTGGAGGAGGGCGACCACCGAAGCAGGCGCTACGAGATCCATGGTGCCTGAAAAAGAAGCAAACAGCAGAAAATGAATCACTCGGCTGTAACTTATGACACATAAGTCAACGGCAGTGCTTTAAATGGACAGCAGTGACATTCACACTCCATTATTAAAACGGCGATTCATTTATTTATTGATAATTTCAGTAATTTTTAAATAAAAAACGCTTAAACTCTCTGATTCGAGCTTCTTAAATTTGAATATTTTCTGGTTTCTTTACTCCTCTGTGACAGTAAACTAAACATGTTGGGGTTGTGGATAAACAGGACGACATCCTGAGCTTTGTGAAACACTAAAACAACATTTTTTTCCTGACATTTTGTAGCACAAGTGCTCAACAACAATGAAAACAACCTAAAATTGCAGCCCTATCAGAATGACTTGGTCCAATCATGTTAGCAGTGCAACAACTGCAATCATTCAAACCCAACTGCTGCAAAGTGACAATGACGGATCCACTGCGCATAAATTTCCAAACCAAAGTCGAGAACATGATGTATTTTTATGCTTTTGTGTCATCTTTTATTGGCAGACTCTGAGCACCTTGCATATTAAAATAACCACAATGCTAAACATGAATATAAAAGTTATTTAAAACCTTAAAAGCCAGCTGGATCATCTGCCAGGATTTATCAGTCCTGAGATCTGAAGGAATATCACACTTCCAAACACAAAGCCAAACGACTTAAATTAGACACTCGCGACAATAAAACACAGGTGTGTGTGTGTGTGTGTGTGTGTGTGTGTGTGTGTGTGTGTGTGCGTGTCTGCGTACGAGTGTGTGAAAGGTTGGTGGCTGTTGATCGGGGGGTCTCTTGTCGTGCAGGAGCTCATGAAACAGGAAACTGAGGGCGTGAGATAAATTAAGCCGGGGGAATTCAGAGAGCAGGTCTGGACACAGGCAAAGGGCCTGCGTGACATCCTGTATGTGTGTGTGTTACAGAGAACCGTCCATAAACTTGATGAACTGCCTCCTCCTATCTATCACTTGTAATCACTCTGATCTCCCCCCTGCTCACATTCACTACAGCGCTTTAACATGAGACGCATGCAGTCGATTGAAAGACCTAAAGAGCGTGCATGCATGTGAGAGAAATGCAAGATCGTTACAAAACCACGGTGGAATTTGTTGGTGATAACATGGAAATAAAAAGGCCTGCGTGGGTTGAGGACCAGTGTCCTGGTCAACCAGGTGTCTGCGACAAGTAAGAAGGTCAGAATGTAAATGCCGTCATGTTGTTTTATTCATCTACAGGCACGTGGTGTCATGAAAAATAAATGGGCCCCTCTCATTTACCCCAAAGCCTAAATGGAGGTTTAAACCTCGGCTGAAAAGGGAGAGTACGGGAGACAGAGGTGTAGAGGCAGACAGCGGAGGAACACAAAAGCCTCTGCATAATATAACATACCGTTAAATTCATAATACTAGCAACACCTAAATTAAAGAGGGGGTGGGGGGGAGATGACAGGAGCTAAATAGCAAGCAAAAAATAACAGCGTCATGATAGCAGGACTTCATGTTCTTCTACAATTAGAAGAAAAACAGAGCAGCTCTGTGAGGCGGAAAAAAATAAAATAAAAAAACATTCAGTGGCGAGAAGGTGGGCGAGAAAGCAGACACTGAGAGAGAGAGAGAGAGGAGATGTGGAGGAACTGTGTCTTCTGATCAGTAGTGTGTTGGGAAGACATCCAGGCCGCTCTGCTCTGCAACTTTTCACCTGTGTTCTGACACCAGCACCCCCGTGGAGGGAGGGAGGGAGAGAGGGAGAGAGGGGGAGAGTCACTGAAGGATGTTATTCAGCCAGGATCTCTCCAGCCCAGCAGCTCAAGGTGAGGGAGGGGACAGTTGTGGAGATGAAGCAGGAAGGAAAAGAGATGAGGGAAAAAGAGGCTGATTTAAAGAGGGAGAAACACAACGGGAGAATCTGAGCGAAACAATAACTACAGACTACTGTACAAAATAAAATACACGAATCCCGCTGAGTACACAGTGCAAACAGTGTTGCAGCGACGTGTACAACAGCAGAGGCCTTGCATCACACCTCTAAATCCACAAAATTATAATTTTCCGTCACTGAGGCCTGTGCCTGCTGCAGGCTGCTCGCCAAGCCTCAACATAGATGTACGCATGTTGCTGCTGCCTGGCAATCTGCCTGATGCAAGAGCAGCAGAACATGGAAGAAAATCTAGATAGACAGAAGCAACTGCCTGCACTGTAAACACAGCCAAACTGCTGCTGTGTCAGAAAGTAGCTACAGTAGCCACGAGTGAGCTACGTAAAAATGAAGAAGGCCGACAGTAAAAACACACAAACACAACTCAGCCTCAATTGTAGCTTAAAAAAGCAACTTACATTTAATCTACTTAATCTTGTCTAATCTGTCTGTGTGTGACAGTGCATGCTTCTGCATTAATATTTTAAGCAAAGCACAATTTTGTGACCTGCAGCGACACACGACATAGCACACTGACATAGTGACATATCCCTGTTGTCTCCCTAACATGCACCAGAACATCCATTCTGCAGAAGCCCTGCTGCAATGCAAGCGCTCCGCTACCAGAAACAGCCCCTGCCCCATTACGACCTGCCCCATCACCTGTTATACCATACCTTATATGGCAGGGAGCCCTTCAGACGACCAGCTAGCAACACAGCTTCCAGGGGTGTGAATCTCTTCCTCGCTCTCTCTCTTTTTTTTTTTTCTCTGTCCCTGCTGCTGAGCGCAGCATCTGACGCTGCATATGTCTAATGGCGACTGCTCTCCCACCCACCCAGCCTCTCGCACTTTTTCTCTCTGAATCCCTCCTTCTTTCTCTATCACTCTCTTTCTTGCTCTTGTGCAGCGAGCGGCGATGGGGAGGGGAGGAGTGTGCAGGTTTACATGATGTGTGGTGGCGAGAGACTGGTGCTCTGCATCTTCCTACGTCACCAGAAAATCATTTTATGGTAACCTTGCTCTCGGTGGACCCTGAGATTAAATATTATGACAAAATGTAGTTAAGAATACAGAAAGAAAGAAAAAAACACAAATACACAAACAGAGACATGAGAGTATTGATGATGTCGACAGGGAGCACAAACCCCAGCGTGCTTACTCAGCACAACAACCCATCCCCTTATGCAAAAGTGTCTTACTCCCTCCATCTCACACTGAGGCAGGAAAAAATAAGGAAACATGGAGGGAAAAAAAAAAGCAAAACAAATAAGCTCCTCACATTAAAACAGGCAGCAGCCAGGAGCTTGCTGTGAGGCTGTGGTGGAACGGAGGAAAACAAGCAAAGTAGAGAGAAAGCAGAGAGAGGCAGACACAGGCCCGGAGCAGATTCTGTTGTTGCCATAGAAACAGCCCGGCTGGGGTGATCGGGGGGCAACGGGGAGGGTGATGGTGATGGGATGCTACTGGTGCTGATGCTGGGCGAGCTGACGAGAGGGAAGGGAAGCTGAAACTGACAGTTGGCGCTCGCACTTAAAAATAGATTCCCGCAGAGCTTCGGCCGTACAGCGAAGTTATCGTGTTTGCCTTCGCTAACAAACGGTGAGATTTTACCGTGAATTATTCAACAAGTTGTAGATTAAAAATATCGCTGCTATATTTACTCTGTCTGATGTGTTCTCTGACCCACTCTGCTCTAGTCTGAGACAGCAAATTTAGCATCACACTTTTTCTATATTTGTCGCGAGCTGGATGAGAACCGTCGCATTTCCGTGAGAAGAAGTTCACACAGTCAAACGCACGAGGCTGCACATCTCCTCCAAGTCAAAACAGTGCAGCTACGTTGACGACGGAATAGAGGCGGAAAAACCAGATCGACTGGTACATTTTGAAGGATTTTTCTAGCTATGATGGGAAGTTTGAATATCCTGGTAGATTAATTGTCGCAAGTGGACCTGCTTGAGTTCCTTGAAGACGTTTCATCCAAGAGGCTTCATCAGGTCTGACTGACTAGTTGGGAGTTCCAGATACTTGCATCCTCAAGGAGCCACTAACACCTGAGTTTCAATTGGGAGTTTGTTGCTCCTCCCCCTCGTTATGTGGGTCGCTAGTGCTCCCCCTGCCACAGTGAGGTTTGTTAGGGTCTGTTGTGGCTAGCCACCAATTGAAACTGACTTGATGTTAATGGCTCCTTCAGGATGTAAGTATCTGGAACTCCCAGCTAGTCAGTCAGACCTGATGAAGCCTCTTGGATGAAACGTCTTCAACAAACTCAAGCAAGCCCAGTTGCTACGATTAATCTACGAGAACAACTCTGACCTGGAGGACTGAGAATCTTCACAGACAAGTTTGAATATGTGAATTCATGGGAACTTTGAGCTGTCTGTCATCAGTTTTTAAATCATTTATCTTAACCCTCAGAGCGCCAGGTTTTTAGAGCATGTCATCCTTCAAAACATTGTAAATATTACCCCATTTATCAGAGCCAGAAACCAAAATAGCTGCGTGTGACATATAGTTCCATCAGGAAAATTAACCAAAATATAAGCTTAAAATCAAAATCACTGCATCTGACATGTCTTGTTTAAGAAATTGTCAAAAATAAATCTTTTGCTCAAACCACATTTTGTAAAAAAAATAAAATAAAATTCTGTGCTCCTCACTACAATCATGAAGCCATAACTGACTCGACTGCAGCAGACAGTCGCATGACAAGAAAGAAGCTGGGGAATAAATTAAAAATGTGGGTAAAAATAAAATATCTACACATAGAGCCACCTTTTTTCCTTTACCAGTACCATTTGGGGACACTTGAGGAAATGCACAAATGTTAAATGTTTGTTAAATAATTAATCTTTTTTTTTATCATTTATGACCTTAAACCTGTGTCACACTTCCCAGAAGACATTTCTGAGTTCTCGCTCTACTTCTAATCGTGGTTGTGCTGTTTCCATAAACAACTTTACATTGCGGTGAATGATTAGCCCACAGCC